TCATCTGGTCTTCGCTCATTAGTGTTCAAGGCCTCAAACCTGTTCCTGAGATGATTCTGAAATTCAGGTGGTATGAAATCAAAGTCATATTTTGGCTGCTGTGGATTTGGTCTCATTTTCCTCAGCTTCAGCTTGAACTTGCATATGAGTAATTGGTGGTCTGTTCCACAATCAGCCCCGGGCCTAGTTTTCACAGCTGATATTGAGCTTCTCCAGCAGTTCCTTCCACAGATGTAGTCGATCTGATTCCTATGCATACCATCAGGTGAAGTCCATGTGTATAACCTGTGTTTGTGTGTTTTATAAAATGTATTTGCAATGAGTAAGTCATTGATTTTACAAAATTCAATCAGATTAGACAAGTATATTATATAAAGAGGTATGTGTAAGTTATACTTTTTTTACGAACATATAAAGTTACACAATATTTTGGTGAAGGCTAGCTCTAAATAGAAGCTCTGTTAATGAAAATTCTTTTTATTATAATTACTAGAATTCCACAGAAATTAGTACAAATAAAAATTTTTAACCTCTAGTTGATTTTAACTCCTGATGACCAATTGTGTAACAGCATAGAACGGCTCCATAGAGTTTTCTTGCTATTCTTAAGAGAAGCAGATTGCCAGGCCTTTCTTTTGCTGTGCTGGTGGTTTGAACTGTCAACTTTTGCAAACCTTCAGACAAAAACATGGTTTGTGGTTACTATCATAGAAAACAACATCGAGGCTTTCTACTAACTTTTACAGTCTGAAATTGAACATGCATTAAGATGCATTTAAATAATTGGTGACTAGAATGCAAAAGTTGGGGGAAAAAGAAGGGCTGGTAATCGGAAAGTACAGACTTGGTGAAAGAAACTGATCATCAAATGATTTAATTCTGTACAGTGATTTACTCATTACAAATTCCTTTTTTTAAAAAAAATACATAAATGATGACGATATACATGAACCCTACCTGATGAACTGCACAAGAATCAGATTGACTCCATCTGTGGGGCAGAAAAAAAATCATTGGAGAAGGTCAGTGTCAGAAGTCAAAACCAGGCCAGGTGCTGACTGGAATAGACCATCAGTTACTCATTTGCTTGACAAACTGAAGCTGAAGAAGATTAAAACAAATCCATAACAACCAAAATAGGACCTTGTGTTGCTGTCGTCCACTAAACAGAACATGGGAATACTGCATGTTTTAAAATCAAGAAAGATGTCCAATGTATGCTTTCTCCATATCTGTACAATCCATGTGCTAAGCAATTTAAAAAAAAAAGGTCGACTTCATAAAGGAGAATATGCAGTCAGGGTTGGAGGAGGACTCATCAAGCCTGTGTTAATGCAGATGACATACTCATGCTTTCTGAAAGTGAAGAGGACTTGAAATGTCTGCTGCAAAAGATCAAAGACGATATAGCCTTCAATATAGGTTATATCTGAACATCAAGAAGATAAAAATCCTCACCACCGGACCATTAGCAACATGATAGATAGAGAAAAGATTGTTTTCAGCAGTTCCATCTTGCTTTGATCTACAACCAACACCCTTGGCAGTAGCAGTTAAGAAATCAAAATACATTACCTTGGGACAGTCTGCTGTTGAAGATTTTTTAAGATGTTAAGGGGCAAAGATGTCATTTTAAAGATCACAGTGCATCTGATTCAAGCCATGATCTTTTGAATTGCTTGTTCAACTGCTTCTGAAAGTTGAACAGTGCTTAAGGATGACAGAAAAAGAATCAATGCCTTTGAGTTGTGATTGATAGTAGTGAAGAGTACTGAATATGCCATGGACTGACAGAAAAATAAAGACTTATTTATTGTGGACAGTGTAGCCAGGGTGCTCTTGGAAACAGGGATGGTGAAGCTTTGTCTCAAATATTTTGGGCATGCTGGCTGATCTTGGAAAGGGACATCATTGTTGGAGAGGTGCAGTGTCAGCGAAAGAGAGGAAGACCATCAACAAGATGAATTGACACAATGACTATAACAATGGGCTCAAGTATATCAGACATGATGAGGTTGAACAGGATAGGACACCAATCAGATCTATTGATCGTAGGGTTCCTGTGAGTTCTAGTTGATTCCACAGCGTCTAACAACTGGATCTTACAGAACCCATTGGCATGGTACATTTTGATCTCAGGTAAAAGTTGGTTGATTGCTCAGGCATCATTAATCATCTCTTTTCATTGTTCTCTGCAAATATTTTTTATTATAAACATGTTTCATGCCTTAGCTTAACTTCAGCTGTGTTTATAGTTTCACAGACTACATAGACTTAAGCTCAAGTATCTTAGATTCATTTTGGCAGAGGAAGCTCAGATTGTTTTGTTGGGGTCTGTTTGTCCAGTTATGGATGTGGGGACTTGGTCGCCTTTGTGGCTGTTCTACCTATAACAGTGTAGTTGTTGGAGGAGGGCAGCTCCCAGTAGAGTAACAAGATGAGAAGATAAAAGAATAGATGACCATTTATAAATTTTACTACATTTATATTCAGACTATAAATATGACTTATTATTTCTATGCTCATTATACTATGTTTTGTTGGGTATAAAAATAAACGTTCTTACAGAATCTACCACTTTTGATCTTGTATTATATGTATTAATAAACATACTCTGTCCTTGTAACTAAAACGTAAATTCCTGGAGGAGCAAGTAAATGGATTTTTTGTATATACCTGTACATTTAATGGAGTTTTTATGCTCAATAACTTTCTATTGCATGAGAATGACTTGAGGAGTAAGTAGTTTTACCTTTTGTTGAATGGAATATTATGAAGACTGTTCTTACACTTTTTCCTCCACTCTATTTTTAGTGGTATGCAATCTGTATTAGTGATGTTGGAGATTATGAAGGCATCAAGGTTAAAATTGCAAATGCATATATCATCAAGGAACATTTTGAGGTACTGATAAATTATTAAAATCCATGTTTTAAAAGTTAATGCTATTCAGTGGGCATGAAAATCACAGGGAGGGATTGGGTAGGGTAGAGTTGTGTTATAGTTAATATAAAAAAGTGTGAATAAGTGGTTAAATGAAAAACCATTGTTCTTTGAAAGTTTTCATTTCAACTACAATAAAAAGTACTTTTTAAACTCAACAATTTTCTAATATATTTTTTTCTTATTTCTTTATGATAAACCACTTTCTGTTTCTCACAATTCTCTGTATCAGCTGAGTACAGTGGTGTTTCTGTTCTACTTGGTGTAAATGAGGCAATTTATAGGACTGCATTCAGTTGCGCCGTCAGCTGGGGCTGGAATGTCCAACATGGCTTTTTATCTAGAAGGATCTCTTTCCATTTCTCTTACTAGTCAAGCCCAGGCCTCTTTCTAGTCTAGTAGCTGGCTGTCAGGAGTTAAGTATTCCAAGAGAAAAGCTCCTTGTGCTAGCTTTCATTCTGTCAGCCACATTGGCCTAAACAAATTCATTTAGCTTATTTAAATTTCACATCTCATTATTAAGTTTTTATAGTCATAAGGTGATAATTGTCTATGGGTTACTTTGAAAGACTAATGGCAGGAAGGATTATAAAAGAAAGGTTATTTCAGAGTATATCATCTCAACCTATTTTATAAGAGAATTAAACTCTAATGTCCAAAGCATCCACTGTATGTGATAACTTTCTTACACAACAAGAATTGAAGAATTTGAAAAATTCTTCAATTGTAGAATTGAAAAAATAAATACTCATACAGTTTTTTTGTAGGGCTTATTTTCTATAAGAACTTCAGTTTGGAAAGGTTGCCCAGAGTATACATTATATTTAAGTACTTTACATTTTACTATAAATCATATCACTGTATTTAAGTATTTTCTATTTTACCATATTTTGTATTTAAGAAGTAAAGTTTAAGTCAGTGCTAATTCTTGTATTATTAAAGCAGGAGCTTGGTTATGCTGGGTATGACTTTATGCCATCTATTGCTTTTACTGGTACTTTGCTACCAACATTAATCGCTGTTGTGTGCAGTGAGGCGATGCTGACACACACCAGCCCTATCAGACAGTGTAGACCTGCCCCATAGGGTTTCTTGGGCTGGATCTTTATGGATGCACATTGCCCCACCTTTGTCCTGCACAGCAGTGATGAGTTTAAACTGCTGACCTTTTAGTTAGTACTAAAGCATTTAACCATTTTGCCACCAGGGCTAGTAATAAATTGAGTGAGTGATACTTTCAAAAAAATAAAAGAATGATCTTGGCAGATGTTATGTGCCAACCACAGTGCTTAAACACCTCTTGCTATTTGCGCACTTAATTTTATCACCATCAATAAAGTAGGTGTACTGTTTTCTCTAATCTATAAAAAGCAAACTCAGATTTTTTTTTCCAAACTCAGATTCAATGAGAATATAGAGTATATCAAGATAAACAAGTTAGAAGAATCGAGCTGTAATTAAACCCTGGAAGTCAGAGTTTAGAGACCATACTCTTACCATTATAAATACTTTAAAAGTCTGTATTTGTTTTACCTTATTTTTCAAACAGAGACAGAAAATGTGGATTTACATAAAATTATATTCTGGAAAGCCTTAATTTTAATTTTTCAAAAGTGTTTGAATTTTTATGAGATTAGCCTTAACTGGTTAGCTTTTTTAGTGCTTCATGGTGAATAAAAGGCAAGTACTTTCTTTAAGTCTTTAATGTTTAAAGTGTAAAAAAAAAATCTTTGAATTTTGTAGTTTATACTTCATATAGAAGTTCATATGGAACTTCTCCAGAGTAAATAGAAATTCTGGAGATTTGTTTCTATATATTTATCATTATATAAAATTCTGTAACTATTCTGTGAATAAAAACAGAGCTTTGGTGGCTTAGTAGTAAGGAGTTGCGCTGCCAACCTAATGGTTCGAATTCACCAGTGGGCCTGTTGGTGAAAAGGTGGGCAATTTTCTCTTGTACAATTAACTGCCTCTGAAAACCCACAGGAACATCAACTATGAGTTGATTTAAACTGAATAGCAGTCAACAACAACATGAACAAATAATGGGTTTTTTTCCCCCCTTTTATAAACACAGATGGGAAAGTTAAAACAATTTCTAAAGTGTGCTTTTTGTTCTTAGGACAGAATGCTTACAATTCAGTATTTATTTAACTTGACTACAAAGGACTTTCTTGTGTATTTTTCTAGAAGAAAGTAACATTGAGAGCTAGAAATTATTACTTTTCAAAGCCATTTTCATTTACTCCTTTTCAACCTTAATTGTAATAGTGATCTTAGTAAACATTATTAGTGACAGTGAAAGGAAGTTAATTTAAAAATTTCAAAGAAAGTCAGTGTTCATTATGATTGAAGAATTGAAATGCAAAGTTGTATTTTTTCCCTTTTATTAAATCATAACTTCTTCAGCAAACATAGTAAAACACTTGATATTCAGAAAACATATATGATCAGTTTTCTCTCTTTTTTTTTTTAGAAAGCAATTGAACTGAATCCTAAAGATGCTACTTCAATTCACCTAATGGGTGTTTGGTAAGAAAAGGTTTTTAAATATTTCACTGATCTTTAGTGCAATATTTTGTTGTATTAATAAATACAATTTTAAAACTATGTAAATTATTTTAAAACATGGAATTTGTAATCTTATTAAATATTATTATTAAGATAATTTAGAAACATGTTTGAAAGGGTAGAGGCACAGTGCAAGAGAGGAAGATCCAGGAAGAGATATATTGACACAGAAACTGAGATAATGGGGGAAGGTGTTTTGAAGACAGTGAGGCTGGCTCAGGACAGGGCAGGGTTCAGAGCTATTGTACCTAGGGTCACTATGAGTCGCAGTCAATGCGATGGTACAATAACAACAAAACAACAAGGCGGACTTCAAAAGTGTTATAACTTTTTGTTATATCTTTTCCTTTATTGGGAAAAACCATTCTTGACCTTGTTTATCAAGCCACATGAAATTACATTCATCTAAATGTCATAATAGTAGTCCTTTAGAGGGTCTTTATACTTTGATGTGTGCTAGTGCTAGTGTGGTCTGACTAAATTCCAAGTAACAATATAATTTCACCTTCTTTCACATTCCATTTTTATGTAACCTTATGTCCAACGAAGGTCGTTCTTTTCCTGATGTGGGGTACATCAGTGTGTTAAATGTTTGCTGGATTAGGATACAAGCTGACCACCTTCTTTTGTGTGGGCTGCAAAGCTAAATATTTTAAGAGTGTTAACAGTCCTTTATTAAACTCTTGAAGAGAAGGAAATACCTTCCTTCCCAAGCCTACAGACAATTTAGTAAACACTGGGAATAATGATAATTGAATCATAGTTATTAAGTCAGGTTCTAGTGTTCAAATTCCTTTTATACTGTATTTGAAGATGCCACATGTTTTTGTGGTTTTTTAAAAGAGTAAACAATTTGCAATCTAAAAATGTTATTTTATTTTTCTAAAGGTGTTATACATTTGCTGAGATGCCTTGGTATCAAAGAAGAATTGCTAAAATGTTGTTTGCAACTCCTCCTAGTTCCACGTATGAGGAGGTAATGCAATGCTCTTGTTGGTTTGTACCATTTTCTTAAGTATAGCACCATTCTGTATATGGTGTCACACATCTAGAGTCTGATAAAGTTAGGGTTTTGAGCAAACTTTTGATGCTTCTATTCAACTGTCTGATCCGAGAGGTTTAGTATTTTGCTTACTATCCATAACTGATGAGTGGCCTTGTCTTTTGTTTTTACTTTAGATAAATGACTGATATTCCTGGTATCTTGCCAGCAGAAGTAGGTCATTGCTGGCATTTAATTTTCTATTTAAAATCTATATCATATGAAAGTAAAAAAGGAGAATAAGAAATACAGCAGCAATTACTTAGCATGCACTAGTTAACATTCTACACATTTCTTATCTGAAAAAATGAAGCATGTGATGACATTGATAAAGAAACATCACATAGTTCTTTCTGTAAAAATTAAGTATGAGGGGAGCTCTGGTGGCCTAGTGGCAAGAAGCTGCACTGCAATCCCAGGGATATGTGGTTCGAATCCACCAGATGCTCTGCCAGAGAAGGGGGGGGCCCATCTCCTCCTGTACCAGTCAGATCCAATTTGACGGTACACGCACACAGAAAATAATAAAATAATAAAAAAAAATTAAGTATGAAAGGCTCATCTTCTCTCGTATTTTTTGGGCCTCCTGCTTATCCTGAGTAGCATAGTTCTGTCTGGTCTGCTTTACTGAAAGATTGGCAGTTTGTACCCACCAGCCACTCTGTGGGGAAAAGATGGGCAGTCTCCTCCCATAAAGATTTACAGCCTAAGAAGCCTGATGGAGATACACCAATGTGATTCAGAATCCACTTGATAGTAGTGGGTTTGCTTTTCACATTAAAATATAATTTGAAAAGCACTTTTGGGTAAACACTTGGAAATTATCTGTATTTTTTCCCATGTCCAATAAAGGTGATCCAACAGAATATGGAACTTAAGCAAAATATTGCTGAAGATGATTCAAAACCAGCAGGACCAGTATACTGACAGGGAACTGCCAGAAGTTCAAGCTGGGTTTAGATGAGGCTAAGGCACCAGGGATATCTTTGTTGATGTCAGATGAATCTTGACTGAAAACAGAGAATACAAGAAGAATGCCTTTATGTAATGCCAATGTATTTGTGTGGATCATAACAAATTATGGCTAACAGTGCAAAGAGTGGAAATCCCAGAACACTTATTATGTTTATAGAAAATCTATACCTAGGATAACAAGGGAATATGGCATGGTTTAGATCAAGAAAGGTACGTGTCATACTTGTATCCTTTCTCCATACTTATTCATTCTCTACACTGAGCAAATCATTCAAGAAGCTGGATTCTGCAGAGTGTGGGATCAGGATCAGACAAAGACTCATCAACAACCTGTGTTATCCAAATGACACAACCTTGCTTGCTGAAAGTGAGGACTTCAAACACTTAACTGCAGAGGATAAAAGACTAGTCTTCAATATATATTGCATCTCAAAATCAAGAAGACACACAAAAAAAACTCACCACTGGACTGATAAGTAATATGATGATAGATGGAGAAAAGATTCATGTCAACGATTCCATCTTTCTTGGATCCACATTCAACACCCTTGGTACCAACAGCCAGGAGATCAAGGGATGTATTGCATTAAGTCTGCTGTCATTGACATCTTCAAATTACTGAGGAGCATTGATGTCGTTTTGTAGACAAGTTGTGCATCTGAAAGCTGGACAACGAGTAAGGATGACAGAAAAATTAATACCTTTGAGCTGTGGTGTTGAAGAGGACTACTAAATATCTCATAGACTGTAAAAAGAAAAACCCAAATAGATGATGTCTTAGAGAAAGTGCAGCCAGAGTGCTCAATGAAGGCAATGATGACAGAGCTTCATCTCACATGCTTGGGACATGTTGCTGGGAGAAGCTCTTCCTTGGAGAGGAACATCGTGCTTGGAAAGGTAGAGGGTTAGTGAAAGAGAAGAAGACTGTTTATGAGATCGATTGACAGAGTGACTGCAGCAAAGGCTCAAGTATGTCAGAGATAACGAGGATGGTATAGGATAGGACAGGGTTCAGATCTGTTGTTCATAGGGTTGCTGATTATCGTACTCAACTTGGCACCTAACAACATCACAAAGATTTGCAGAGTAAGGAAATTGGCAAATAGAATAGCTGTATCATAAGGAGGAACTACTTTTTCCTAGAATGCTATAATATAAGCACTTGGGGGAGCTCTGGTGACCTAATGGAATTGCGATACTAGCCCAAAGGCACATGGTTTGAATCCCCCAGCGGCTCTGCATGAGAAAGATGAGCAGTCTCCACCTGTATGTTTTACACCCTCTAATCCCTTAGGTGGAGCATCAGCTATGAGTTGGTTCTGACCAGATAGCACATAACAACAACTTTAGGAACTACAGACTTGAAGGTTGGAGCTTCCAATGTCCTCATCAGAGTAAGACCTGGCAGTTTGCCTCCATAATGATTATAGCCAAGAGGATTTTATGGAGCAGTTCTCATCATCACATAAAATTGCTATAAATCAGAATCAATTTGACAAAGCTCATTAGCCATCAAGGTATACAAATTGTCAAAGAATATTCATTTGTATATGTAAGAACACAGTTGGGAAATGTTCTTTATTAAAAGTGCATTTAAGAAAAAGCATAGACAGCTTACAGTGCTGTAACAAACTTTTGTGTCATTGGAAAATTCCTTATAAAGACAATAGTTTAAGTAGGACAAAAAGAATTAGCAAATTATAGATTCATAATAAAAGGGTTTTGGGTAGGGAGTTCAATAATAAAGGTGTTTATACATTTAAATATTATAACTTTGAGTAAATTTATCTTTTGGGTTTTTAAAATTTTTTTATTATTATTATTTTTGCGTGTATACTGTCAGATTGGATCTTTTTTGGTACAGGAGGAGACTGTCTCTCTGTCTCCAGCAGAGCATCTGGTGGATTCGAACTGCACACCTCAGGGATTGCAGTGCAGCTTCTTGCCACTAGGCCTCCAGAGCTTGTCTTTTATTTTTTTTATGATGATTGAGGCAGACTGCTGCTTTCCTGACCTTAATTGAGTCTTTTCTTAGTAGATGGTAGGTTGTTGTAACTATATAGTGATGCAGAGTACGACAATGTTTTGAGAAGGACCTGTATATTTTTGCTTCCTTCGTGGTCTGCAGCCTGGAGGGCCAAGGGCCAGACAGCAGTGTTTCCCCTTAAGTACCTGAATACAGAGCAGGGAATTCTGTTCCTTTCTAGAAACTGCGACTTACGCTTGAGCATAAGGGATCCCATATGGTGTAGCTAAACAGCAGTGTTTCCTCCAAAGTACCTACGATATTGGTGCTCCTGGCACTGGACAGAAGGGGAAGCTGCTGGGTGTTGAAGCAGCATCGCCTCAACTTGGCAAGCAGTGATTCTGTCATTGGCCAGGTTGTGAGTGCGCCTAGGTTGAGCCACAGCCTCTAGCAGCCACTGGGGAAGCAGGAGCTGGAAGATGCTCCCAGGTCTGCCATGCCACACAGATGTTGGCGTTTTGCAGCAGAGCAATGTTCAAGTGCCAGAAGAGCCGCATCCTGCCACATTTATATGTTTAATGATAGATATTTGTTATAAAGGACTTTATAAAATTCACTGGCATAGCTTATTTATCTGAATAAATTTACTTCTTTTTATGTCTAATTTTTGCTAGTTGTCATTAATGTTAGGATTTAAGAATAGTCACCAATAGCTGTATATACTACATGATAATGTTTTTTCCTCTACACAAGTATTCTAGCAGAATTGGTCGACGTAATAATTACTCATTTTAACTGTGCTGACTTTACTGAAATGTTAACTATTATTTAAGGTGATGTATTTATTAACTTATGTAAAGATAGATGTCTTAGAAGATGCTTTTACTATTCTAGATTTTAAGTATGTTCTAATCTGTTTGATTATGTTTGGACTGTTTTTAACAGGCCTTAAGCTACTTTCAAAGGGCAGAAAAAGGTAAAGTATTTTTTTATATTATATATTAATATAGTTAAGTGAATACAGAAATATAGAATAGACTTGAAAGAAAAAAGATATTTACTCTGATATATTTATTAAAGTCTTGTGTATTAGTTATTGTTGGATAGTTTTTCATTTTTATCCAGTGGCAATCACCTGGACAAGATAGAGGCTTCAGAGCTACAGTTCTGGAGTGGTCTTCTATGTATTTCAGCTTTGTTCAGTGGTTCAAACTGACCCTTGCTAGAGGAACAATGTTGCAGTCTGCTTTAATGAAGATTACAGCCTTGAACCCTATGCAGCAGGCCTCTTCTGTCCTAGGGAGGTGCTATGACTTCAAATCTGCTTCATAGCAGTGGGTTGTTTTGAGATGAGATTTAGGCAGTTTAATTCAAAATTATTAAGAAAACAACCTCACTACCACCAGAAAGTTGATTCCTAGCTTGACCAAATGCATAAGAGAGTTGGCCATGCTTTTACTCATTCCTTAAACAAGTATATATTAAGTGCATGTACTATTAAGGGAAGAAAAAAGATGAAAAGAGAAAATCACGATACATAAACAGCTTGCATTCTCTTAGGAATCTCAGTTTCTGATTGGTAAAATAGAGATAATATGTACTTTATAAAATTCCTATTAAAAGTAGAAATACTTACATTACAGTGCCTAGTACATAACAGGCATTTAATAAATGATAATTATTCTTTAATTAATATCTGTATGCAATACGAATAGTTGAATATAAAAAAAATTACAGTAGCCTAATCACTTGTTGACATGAATTTGAATTTTAATATTTGAATTCAGGCTTCAAAATTAAACCAGTGTGAGAGAGATATATTTTTTTATTTTTTATTTTTTTATTTTTGGTTCATACAGTGGATCCAAACTTCTACAGCAAAAACTTGCTACTTTTAGGGAAGACATATTTGAAGCTACAGAACAAAAAGCTTGCTGCTTTCTGGCTGATGAAAGCCAAGGACTATCCAGCACACACAGAGGAAGATAAACAGGTACAAGATCTTCACTAAGGGAAGGCACTGAGGTTTCCACTGAGGCACTGTTGTACAAAAGTGAATTAAGAATGCCTTTAAAAACATGATCATCTACATATATGAGGAGGAAATAGCACTCACTTAAAATATATTGATTGACATTTGTAATAATTTCTGTATAGGGAGTGTTTAGTAACTATTACCAAAGAAATGTTATGAATTACTTGCTGCAATACAGAATAATTATGTATGATAAACTATGTAAGGTTTAGCAAACATAGAGGGCAAAGGATATGTTTTGATATGGAAGGGTTCTCCGAAACTCTTATTTGGTCACTCTCAGATTTTAATTTTAGAATGTTCTAACCCAGAAGCTCTTAGAAACTATATTCCACTTTATGAAATTGTTCAAAATATTTCACTACCTATTTATAATTGATATTTTTTCCATTTTAGATACAGAATGAAGCTACTCAATTGCTTTCAAATCTCAAGAATTGAGAACAGTTCAGAGAAGCTAACACTTGAATATCTAATAAACACCGCCTTTTCATAAACTTATAAATACATTTACTATAAGTGGTCTGTGGCTGCTTTTTCACTTTCCTTTTAAATTTTTTTATGTTGTGAAGATTTAATAAATTATTCTACAATATTCTAGGTTTCTTAACAAATAATAAAAGAAACCATCGCTGCATGAGCAGAAGAATGATAATCTCCATAGTACAGAGGCCGATTGTTCTGCGTCTGGGAGACACCAGCGTTATAAAGTATGAAACTTATAAGGAAGATTTATCACAGGATGGGAGGTCAATAAAAGATGACTGTGGAAGAGGAAGGTGCACTCAAGTAGGATTGATTCAAAGTTGAGATCTTGGAGAGAGAGAATAGTGAAAGTCGAGTTAAAATGTTCTTGGTACAAAATAGTTAAAAGATGTGTCTTGGAACCAACATTTATAAGAAGTCAGGTCATGAGAAGGTAAGAAAATGGAAGTTGGATGTGTTTTGTTTTTTTTAAGATCTGGAATATTCAGTATTCTTGCAGTAGATGGAAAGAAAACAGATTCATCCTCGAGAGGGTTAAACCGGGCTGCTCCTTGGAGGCAAGGATTCTGAGGCTTTGTCTGACATACTTTGGAAATGTTGTAAAGATAGACTGGTCCTTGGAGAGGGACATCATGCTTGGGAGGATGGAGAGCAGGCGCAGGAGGGGAAGGCTCTCTGGGAGGTGGATTGATTCGGAGACTGGGGCAATCAGGATGAGTGTGTTGGAGACAGCGAGATCGGCACAGGGCAGAGCAGAGTTTAGGGCTGTTGTACATAGGGTCACTATGAGTCACAAGTGACTTGACGGCACGTAACAACAACAACAGATGGAAAGAACTCCAAATTCAGTATTTTAAATGGAAATGAAAATATTTTAAACAGATGGGGAGTGCTTTGAGTGTGTACTTAGTTAAGGATAGTATATTTTAAGCTTTTTAAGGAGAGTGTGTCTACTCACTGCCTTTTTTAATTCAACATATTTGAAACAGTAGTACAAAACTTACCTGACTATTCTGCACGCTAATGATGTATACTTGACTTGGCAATAACAGTATGTTGGTTAAGATGATACGTCAGCCTGGCTAGGCCATGATGCTCAGTGATTGGGCAGTTATGTAATGTCATCCACCATTTTCATATCAACTTTGCCTTTAACACTGGAACCATGTCAGGGAGTGAGGAGGAAAAATAGAACAATGCCTTTCTGATCACCATGTATCCACATCTGGAGTCTCCTCAGAAGGATTTGTGTGTTGTGATGTTACAAACAAATTATATGGGTTTTTGGTGTTGGTTTCTACAATGCATTCAAATTTTGTAAATAAACTAGTATAATAAAAAAAAAGAAAAATAAGAGAGCAGAATCTTTAGACCTAGCACTCGATTGAACAATTTTTAATCTTTTGTTCAATTCATCTATATGTGTGTAAATATTCATATGTATACACACACACACACACACACACACACACACACATAAAGTGTAGGGCACTTTGGTGGCATAATCCATATTTGGCTAATCCAGAATCATCTCCAGTAGGTCAAATCTACCAGTGGCTCCAAGGGAGAAAGATGAGCAGTCTCTTTCCATTGTGATTTTATTGATTAGATGCCATGCTCTGAAGAAGAGTAGAAAAGTATATGAGGTTAAGTCTCTCAATCACTGCTTCTAAGGAACACCCTGGTTGCCCTTTTTCTTAGATTGATTTGCCCATTTGACAGTCAGTGGTGTTTTCAATACTCTTTGCCACCACAGTTTAAAGGAAGGTCTTACTAATTATCCAACTTTCACATGCAGATGAAGTAACTGAAAATGCCAAGGTTGGGTCATACCACCTTAACACTTTTAACAGCAAGACTTTTCCCATGTAACACGTTTTGATTTTTTGATTGCTATTACCATGGATGTTTGATTATGGATCCATGTAAAATGAAATTACTGACTTCAATCCTTTGGCCATCTATCATGATACTGCCTATTGTGAGGATTTTTGGTTTCTTACTTGTTGAGATTACAATTTTATGTGTAACCCATACTTATGACAGCTTCAGAAAACTGATGGATTATTATGAGTTGGACCAACTTGATGACTGTGTGTGTGTGTGTGTGTGTGTGTGTGATGTGTGTATGCATATATTTCTGAACCTATGAAATTTCACCCTAAATATTTCAGGATGCATATTCTCAGCATAAGGAAATCCTAAACACACACATATCTAATCATAGCTTAAGAAACCTAACAGTTCTAAAAAAAAAAAAAGAAAGAAACCTAACAGTTCTCTTTTATCATCTAACATCTAGTCTAATATCTTAAACAGAATCCGAAGAGTGTACATTGCATTTTATTGAGTTAATTCACAGAAGACTAGCCCATTTACTTTGTAGATTCTGTCATTATTTTTTCCCCTTAGATGTCATTCTTGATTTGCCTAATTGATAGCAATTTGAGTACTACTGCAATAGTTTTAAATTATTAATTTCACTTTACTTCTTTTCAGAACTACCAATTATATATATATGTTGGATTTTGTCTTCTATATTTATTAGTCTGTCTTTAAATGTCTTTATTGCAGTTTCATCATTTTAGCTTATATGTTCCTTGTGTATCTTTTGCACTTTTGGTTGTCTATTCTTCCTTAGACTCTTGGCCTTTATTTCTCAGATGTTTTATTTTAACCTAATAGCCATTTCACATCTTCATTTTATTACATATTTTTATTTTTTAAAAATCTGCAGTTACTTATATTTAATTCATATTGGGGGTGGTGTGTGCTATGGAGTTGGAACCAAATGAGAACTGACCCACACACAGATTTTCAGAAGCAATCACATGAGAAGAGATTGTCCTTCTTTCTCCTGCAGAACTGGTGGATTTGAGTCGTACACCTTTGCATTGGCAGCACATTTCCTTAACCATTAAGCCACCAGAGCTCCCTTAGTTCAGATTAGCATGCTGTATTTTTTTATTTGTGTGCTCTTGTATTTTGTGTGTACATGTATTTATTTGCACAGGAAATTTTCTTCTTAGACTGACTGGGTATTCTTTCCACTAACAAGTAACCATATAGGAATATAGGAGTAGGTGGAAGGTTTGCTTTAAAACCATCTTAACAGTTTCCATGTGAAATGAGGTGTCCTTCAATAACAGCCTTTTATGTATGGGAACATCTCTTTCCTCCTGTTAACTTTGTAGACTTAAGTTTTATAAAACTTTTGAAATTATAAATTCATAGGACATTACAAAAATAGAGACAGTATGCGTTTTCTCCAGTTCTCCCAATTATTAAAATCTAGCACTGGTCTGTCCATTTGCCGTACAGAGGTAACTCGTGGTTGCTGTGATGCTAAACACTGAGACACTGATGTGTCAAATGTGATAATGGTTACCCATGGTGGACAGTGTTTGGTGGAGCTTCCCGATTAAAACAAGTTTGGAAGAAGTGGCATCCACTTCCGAAATGGCTTGCCTCCAGAAACTCTATGAACAGGGCTTAGGCCATTTGTTGATAGGGTCGCTTTGAGTTGTCTAGGACTCGACAGCACCTAACAACAGCAGTTACAGTACAGCATCAAGCAGGAAATGGGTATTGGTATAGTTCAGTCCTTTTTCAGATTTTACCATTTACCTATAGTCAATTTGTGTGTAGTTCTATGCAGTTTTATGTGAAGAGTTAAGTTACTGAACTGTCCATCCTCTGTGCTACTCCTTTACACTTGTCCCATTTTTTCCCTATCCTGGCAATCCATTTTTTTTTTTTTTATCATCTGTAATTTTGAATGTTCTAAATGGAATCAAAGTGTGGTGGTTTGTTGTGGTTTTTTGTTTTTTTAAGTGGTTTTTGAGGTTGGCATTTTTCACTCTACAATTCCTTTGAGATCTAGCTTAGTTCTATCGAGTTCATTCCTTTTTAGTGCAGGCTCTGGTGGCCTAGTGGTAAGGAGCTGTGCTGCCAACTCAAAGACATGCTTGTTCAAAGCCACCAACTGCTCGGTAGGAGAAAGGTGGACAATCTCCCATGTGATTAAAACTACCTCTGAAAACCTGCTGGATGGTAAGCTCTAAGGTTTTGACTTGATAATCAACAGTATTAACACAAGGAGCTTTCGTAGGTGGCACAGTCCATAGAAAGTTGAGCTGCCAATCCAAAGGCAAAGCTTCTCTGATAGATTGAATCTATCAGCTGCTCTGAGTAAGGAAAGATGGGCAATCTCACCTTTCATTTACACCTTCTATTGCAGCATTCTTCTAGGTGGTATGGCACTGGTCTGTATTGCTGTACAGAGGTAACTTGTGGTTGCTGTGATGCTAAACACTGTGACATTGATGTATCAAATGTGAGAATGGTTACCCACAGTGGACAGTGTTTGGTGGAGCTGCTGGATTAAAATAAGCCTGGAAGCAGGAATGGCATCCACTTCTGAAATGGCTTGCCTCCGGAAACTCTACGAACAGTTTTTCGTTCATAGGGTCGCTATGAGCCGTCTACAACTCGATGGCACTTAGCAACAACTGAAGCATCAACTGTGCATCAGTTCTATGGCAATGGTTTGGATTTTTTTTGGTTAAGTATTTCATTGTTAGCAGTTTCTTTAACCATCATGGAAGTTTCACGTTTTTCCTATTAGTATTAAAGCTACCATGAAATGGACCTATTTTCATTTCTCTGGGAGTTGCCCAGGAGTGTGATTGCTGGGTCCCTTGTAAGGCTCCTCTTCATGATCTTCCCCTTTACTCACCAATAGATGCTCTTTCAAGATACGGTGCTGTCCCCAGTTACCGTGATTCTGTGTGCTCAAGTCCTTTCAGTATCTCTGACTCACCAGGTCTCACACTTTCCCTTCATCAGGGCTGTGGCCTATTCCTGGAACCCTGGATCCTCACATTTTCTGTGCAATCCCCACCTAGCTATTTTATGTGAGCTGCTATGCTAGCTGGTGATCTTTATTTCCTTGT